TTGAGGGTGAACGTTATCGAAGCTCAAGACATTGTCCCGAACGACCGGAGCCGTTTGCCGGAAGTTTTTGTGAAAGTCCAAGTCGGGAATCAAATCCTAAGAACTGGGATATGTCCTGATAGGACAGCTAATCCGATGTGGAACGAGGATTTAGTCTTTGTTGCGGCGGAGCCGTTCGAAGAGCACCTTGTCCTAACCGTTGAGGATCGAGTCCATTCATCAAAAGACGATGTATTGGGAAGAATAAGCCTACCCCTCACCGTTTTTGACAAGCGGCTCGACCACCGGCAAGTGAATTCCCGTTGGTTCGATCTTGAAAAGTTCGGTTTTGGAGCGCTCGAAGGCGACAGGAGGAAGGACCTCAAGTTCTCGAGCAGGGTACATCTTAGAGCGTGCCTTGAAGGTGGATATCACGTCCTAGACGAGTCGACGCTCTACATAAGCGATCAACGGCCCACGGCGAAGCAACTTTGGAAGCCTCCGGTCGGAATTCTTGAAGTTGGAATACTAAGCGCACAAGGGCTCCTACCGATGAAGATGAAGGACGGCCGAGGGAGCACAGACGCTTACTGCGTGGCGAAATACGGACAAAAATGGACTCGTACGAGGACGATCATCGACAGCTTTAGCCCTAAGTGGAACGAGCAATACACGTGGGAAGTCTACGATCCGTGCACCGTCCTAACGCTCGGAGTCTTCGACAATTGCCACCTAGGAAGTGGAAACAAGCCCGACGCCAGTCAACAACGAGACTCGAGAATCGGGAAGGTTCGCATTAGGTTATCGGCCCTCGATGCCCACCGTGTCTACACACACTCGTATCCGCTTCTCGTCTTGCACCCTTCGGGTGTGAAGAAAACGGGAGAAATCCAACTAGCCGTTCGATTCACGACGCTCTCGCTCGCTCACACGATACACATCTACGGACACCCTCTACTCCCGAAGATGCACTACATACACCCTTTCACCGTGAACCAGGTCGAAAACCTCAGATACCAAGCCATGACCATCGTGGCGGCTCGGCTCGGCCGAGCCGAGCCGCCCCTCAGAAAGGAGGTCGTTGAGTACATGCTTGACGTCGATTCGCACGTTTGGAGCATGAGACGGAGCAAGGCGAATTTCTTTCGGATAATGTCGCTCTTATCGGGTATAATCTCGACGAACCGGTGGTTTAACGACGTATGCCATTGGAAAAACCCTACGACCTCGGTTTTAGTCCACGTATTGTTCTTGATACTCATTTGCTACCCCGAGTTGATACTCCCGACGATCTTTCTATACGGCTTCCTTATAGGGCTGTGGAACTATAGGCTCCGGCCGCGGGGCCCGCCGCACATGGACGCGAAGCTGTCGTGGGCCGAGGCGGTGAACCCCGACGAGCTGGACGAGGAGTTCGACACGTTCCCGACGTCGAGGGAGAACGATGTCGTGAGGATGAGGTACGACCGGCTTAGGAGTGTGGCCGGGAGGATCCAGACGGTGGCCGGCGACGTGGCGACTCAGGGGGAGAGGCTGCAGTCTTTGCTGACGTGGAGGGATCCTAGGGCCACGTGTCTATTTGTTGTGTTCTGCCTCTGTGCTGCGGTGGTGATGTATGTGTCTCCGGCGAGGGTGGTGGTGCTTGTTGGAGGGTTGTACTATTTGAGGCATCCGAGGTTTAGGAGCAAGTTGCCTTCTGTGCCAAGTAACTTCTTCCGGAGATTGACTGCAAGAACTGATAGCATGCTGTGATGGTGATTGGTGGATTTTTTTTTTATTTTTTTTTTGTAATGGTGATCTTTTTTATGTGTTGTGTTCTTGATGTTTGTATATGTTCATACAAATTGTAATTCTAGTAAACATATGTAATGATTTGTTCTTGGTTAACATATATTTATTAAAACTGATAATCTGATAGTTAAAATATATTCTAGTAAACATATGTACTTACTTTTACTTTTTATAAAAAACGTAATTGTTAAAAAAAAAATTATAGGAGCAGAATATAAATGCAATAAATTATATATACATACATATATAGTAGTAAAAAAAAATTAAAATTATGAGGGGCCCATGACTAGACATGACCACCGATTCAATTAGAACCGAAACCGGGGTCAACGGTTTTTTAACTGAATGTGATCCGGAACAAGAAAAATCGGTTCGGTTTTTCCGGTTCTCCATTTTTTGGTCAAAATCATAACAATCTTGCCTATTTATTATTTCATTTGCTACGATTCTATGACATGTTTTATTGAGAGATGCTTGGATAGAATTTTGTTTTAGATGTCATTGTTTTTATTTATTTCATATAAAAAATATATATTTAGTTATTATCTCTATTAGAGAAAAAAAAATCAAAATTTTATGTTATCTTATATACTTGATAAATATATAATTAGTATCTGTAATATAATTATTTTATATCATAATCATCACAATGTAATACTTATGAAGTAATATCTCCATCTTTAAAATAAAATCTGAAGAAAATTTTGCAGTTACTTGCGCTATAAGCTATGCAAAATTATAATACAAGGAATGGAGAATTTGTTTTAACGATTAACTAATTAATTAATATCGTCTTACAGAATATTAGACAACTTTAAGCAGATTAATTATGAAATTGGATTTTACGGAATGTATATCAAATTGCCCCAATTTTTTATTTGAAATAGATTCGAGTACGATTTTAGTCTATTATACACTACCATTTTCAGTAGTGCGAGGACATTTAAATTAAGGCTAAATTACGGATTAACGCTCCATAAGGTAAAATTAAATTACAAAATACTCCTCTTATTATCGAAATTACGTTTATCCCTCAAATTAACGATCAGTCAATGTTTCTAACAGAAGCACTAGAGTATGTCAAAATTACAAAAAACCTCATAAAGCATGTGTAAATTACAAAAAACTCCTTTTGTTTATAAATTTACATCGACCCCTCAATCAAACGATGGATCGAAACGTTTAAGGAATCCTTGGAAAGGTTTAAATTAAATAAATGTTTTAATATTAAAATATTTTTTTTTAGTAATAATATTTAAATATTTACTTTACCCCTATGTTATTTCAAAATAAAAGTGAGTTCTCATTATTCTATTTTCTCAACAAAAAGATTAGATTAATTTTGATGGAGACAAAGTTGAACTTAGAAATTAGTGACAAATAAATTATATTTTTACGACTAGTTTGAGATGTGCTATTAAAGAAAACCATGTGAATGTGATAGGAAAAAAACAAATGAAGTGAGAGAGAAAAAAACAAACAGTTACAATATTTATAAATCGGATATATTTTGTATTATTTAAAAATATTACAATTCACCACTAATAATTAAAACTCCTATTAATACACCTTGATAATACAAGGGCAAAATTGAAAATTTTGAGGAATATTCTTGGAATCTAAATTAGTTTAAGCGTATTATTTTTAGGGGAAATTGGCTAGACACCCCTTATTCCATATTTATATAGGTAGAGATCCAAGTTGTTAGATGAATATAGGTATAGGTCCTTTAATTCAAAAAATTAATTTTAAATTAATTGTATATAGACATAAACACCCTTAATTAATATTTATATGAAAATAATTAATTATAGCAAATAAGGAAACAAATCCCACATATCACTCATTTTCTTATCACTCCCCCCCCCCCCCATCTCACGGAAATCACTCTCCACTCTTTCTCTTTCTCAAGAACTATTTGCTATTACCTATTCTTATAACTTTTAATTTCTAATTAAGTGTGCTTCATCCAACAAAATAATTTGAACG